TAAAGAAAAATAAAAAAGTTTTGTTTAAAAAAAAAAATAATAAAAATAAAAAAAATTAGTAGGAGGGAAACACACCAGCCACTCGGTCTTATCTGGATTGAGTACAAGCTTGTTAACCCCCATCCAGTCCCTAACAGCCACAAGGCCCTGGCACATCACGTCAACCGCTTCATTGAGTTGGCACGGGGCGGACAGATACAGCTGCGTATCGTCCGCATACTGGTGGTATTTTATCCCGTGCCGTCGAATGATCTCACCCAGCGGTTTCATGTAGATGAAACTGGTTACCAATCTGTGCCCATACTTCCATAAGCGGTTAATTATGAATTTGCACACATATACATCTTACCTGGCTGCAAATGATTCTGTTTTTTTCTCATTCCATGTCAGATTTAGAAACTGAGGGGCTCAGCAGGACCCACATCTAGCTCTTTGGTACATATAGAGGATATTTGGGATTCCTGCCAAACATTTCTATAAGCTTAGAAAGTTCTAAACAAACATCTAATTCCAGAGTATGAGTTCATATTTGAAGAACTTCAGTTGTAGTTAAGAAATCAATTATTCCCTTTGTTCTTTCAGATCCTCTTAAACAAATTTTAATCAACATCTACCAAACGCTACTCATGCTTGTTCTCTATGCAAAATACACATGGAGGCAAAGTTTTGTTATGCACAGTTGTCATTACAACAGAGGGGAAAATAGCTACAGAACTGCCACTGTATCTCTTTCAGCCAAAAGAAATTGCCTGCCAAAATGTTAATTCTTTTTTCTTTGGCTTATTATCAGCTATGAAAAAAGGAGGAAGAAGTAACTGCCTTACTGAAAGAAAAAATATTTTTATTTATGACTTAACTACATTTGCTAGATGAAATCACCAAAATGGGGATAGGACTTATGAACTTCTGGAGTTTTATTTTTTGGGGGAGAGGGAGATCTCTTGCTCAACATGCAGATACAATTCCTCTTGCAGTACTTTTCATTAATAACTGATCTGACTACAGAGAAAGTGGCGAGTTATGATTCCCAGGGTGCTCAATAAACATGTGTAATTGAGATGCAACTGTTCAACTGTGATTTCTTTTTTTATTATTACAATCACGGTGCACAATGAAAATTGAGTATCATAAATGAACTGAACTGAATGAATGAATGAAACTTGACAACTGAAATTATTACATCAAAGTACATTCAGCCAAATAGAAAGTAGAATAGAAAGTAGAAGTGTGGAAGACTGACTTCCATAATTCATAGAATATTCACTGTCAAGCTGGAAATTTGGCAGATTTTAGTCCAACATGTATAATTGAAATGCAATGGTTTATCCGTATCATGAACCACATCAATATCATTAATGGAGTTTATAATGAAAATTGTAATTATAAAGATCATTGAATGAGATTGACATCAAAAACTGAAGAATTGAAAAAAGTTGTGATAAAGTAGTTAACAAACAATACATCTGATTTAGGGCCAGGGGCACTTTGAGGCTTTCATCCATCTCTTCAGAGCCGAAGTGACACAGTGGTTAAATGCAGCACTGCAGGCTACTTCAGCTGACTGCAGTTCTGCAGTTCGGCTGTTCAAATCTTACTGGCTCAGGGTTGACTCAGCCNTAGAGTCGGGAACGACTAGCACATATGTGCGAAGGGAACCTTTACCTTATCAAAGAACTCTTTGAATGCGAAAAAGATAAACTGACCAAGCCTGCCCATTTTGAGTTTTGTACACATCATAGGACTTTCTTTATCCTTTATTTATCCTTTTTAAAAACATGAATTCTTATGTTTGTTAGTTTCATATCTCCCCTCTTCCTCAGGTGATCCAAAACAGCATCTGTATTTTTCCCTCTTTCAATGAATCAAATAGGACCCACATAAATTCAAACAAAGTATAGGGATCACATTTATTAAACACTTGAACGGTAATAACACTTAGGTCCATCTAGGACAGAGGTCTTCAAACTTTGCAACTCTAAGACTGGTGGACTTCAACTCCCAGAATTCTCCAGCCATCTGGCTGGAGAATTCTGGGAGTTGGAAGTCCACAAGTCTTAAAGTTGTCAAGTTTGATACTTACAAATACTCTGCTACAAATAATTACAAAACAAACCCCATATATATAATGTGCATTTGAACTCTTTGAATAAGAATATTGGACCAAGGGTGATGAGCCTCAATTCAAAGGAGACTTCCCCAACACAGAAGTTACAAGTTAGTAAAAAGGATTAATAACAAATGAAAATATATATTCTTATCTATATGCCCCCTGGAGTTGCTGTAAGGTTGGATGGTGTTAGAAATCCAAATGGTAAATAAAATGCAACTGTTAAAATGTTATTCTTTGCCACTAGTGAACCAAAGACACACAAATGTTACCTATACCGGAATATGACTTCAAACATGATCATAATTTTAAACCACAAATGATGTTAGGAATAGAATCAATTCCAAAAATATTTAGCATTGTCCTCTAAAGTCGCTTTCCTTGAGCTTTTGCTCAGGAAACAGACACGAATTGAAATGTAGGCAGGTAACAAGCAACTGCTACAACTTAGCTATGGATTTCTCCTTCTAGTTTGGGTATGAAGATTCTTTTAACCTGTCCCAATGTCTGAAAAAAATTAGCTTTTGGTTTCTTGGCAGATACTCTTGGCCTAATACTGGGGAGTACAGACAAGAACACCAGTGGTTGATCTGAAATTATATTAAACATCTTATTGCTGAATTGGCTTAAAGTGATATCCGAGAAAGCTAATACACCCTCAAAACAACACTATTTTTAACTGCAGTTATTTGAACTTCCCCTTTTCAGAAAGAAATGACTCAAGATTATATTTGCAAGTTAGTATTTCCAGTAGGTCTTTCAGCATTAAGAGAACGAGGTCCCCATACCAATAGGGTTTTCTATTTGTGCCAGTGCAATATTTATGCAAGGCATGCAGTGGCTCAGGGGCTAAGACGCTGAGTTTGTTGATCAGAAAGGTCGGAAGTTCGGCGGATCAAATCCCTAGCGCTGGGTAACAAAGTGAGCTCCAGTTATTTGTCCCAGCTTCTGCCAGCCTGGCAGTTCGAAAGCATGTAATCGTGCAAGTAGAAAAATAGGGACCACTTTGGTGGAAAGGTAACAGCGTTCTGTGTGCCTTCGGTGTTTAGTCATGCCGGCCCCATGACTACAGAGACGTCTTCGGACACTGCTGGCTCTTTGGCTTTGAAGGGAGATGAGCACCGCCACCTAGAGTCGGGTACGACTATCACATGTGCGAGGGGAACCGTTACATTATTTGTGCCAGTATAATGGACTCGGATAGTAACTCTTAAGACAATTACACAAAGGAGCTGAATTAAATCCACCTCCCTAGAATCACGTTTTGTGTTACAAAGTTTCACAGGGTGTTTGCAAAAGACAACATTCAAAGTCCCAGAAATTCATTTAAATGAATGCGATTAAAGAAATGAGGGAATGTCTTCCCCAAATCTAAATAAATATTAGGTTTAAACATGTAAGTGATTATGTTCATTTTACCTCAAATTCCCAAAGGAATTTTCAACACGCTATTTATATATTTTCAAGGGATTATATGCAATTTTATTGTGAAAAGGGCTCTTGAGGTTCTTAGAATCTCCTCTAAAGGGGAAAAAAATAGAACGTCTGTTGTCTTATATTCCAGTTTCACCTTCTATGAGTTTATAATGTTTCTCCACCGCATGAATCCTTTTGTGGCAAATGAAAGCCGTGGTCTTCCTAAAGCTTCTCCCGCAGTCCGTGCACTTATATGGTTTCTCTCCGGTATGGATCCTTCTACGTTTAGAAATGCTTGTGCTTTTGTTAACATGTACCTTCATCCATTTGTAGATTTTCTCCCTTGTGTGGGTCCTTTTATGCGAAGCACGGTTACTGCTGGTATTGAAGCTTTTCCCACACTCCATGCATTTGTAGGGTTTCTCCCCGGTGTGGATCCTTTTATGGGATATAAGGTCACTGCTCTGACTAAAGCTCTTCCCACATTCCCTGCATTTATAAGGTTTCTCCCCTGTGTGGATCCTTTTGTGCGAGGAGAAATTACTGCTCTTCCGGAAGCTTTTCCCACAGACCAGGCATTTGTAGGGTTTCTCCCCTGTGTGGCTCCTTCTGTGGGAAGTGAGGCTACTGCTGTTGCTGAAGCTTTTCCCGCACTCCGTGCATATATAGGGTTTCTCTCCCGTGTGGATCCTTTTGTGAGAAGTCAGGTAGCTGCTTGTACTGAAGCTCTTTCCGCACTCCGGGCATTTGTAGGGTTTTTCTCCCGAGTGGCTCCTCTTATGGGACGTTAGGCTGCTGCTTGTGCTGAAGCTCTTTTCACACTCCGGGCATTTGTACGGTTTTTCTCCCGAGTGGCTCCTTTTATGGGACGTCAGGCTGCTGCTCGTGCTGAAGCTTTTCCCACACTCCAGACAGTGATACGGTTTCTCTCCCGAGTGGCTCCTTTTATGAGCCGTGAGGTTGCTGCTGCTACTGAAGCTCTTTCCACACTCCGAGCATTTATAGGGTTTCTCTCCGGTGTGGATCCTTCTGTGGCACGTCAGGGAACTGCTATTGCTGAAGTGTTTTCCACATTCCGTGCATTTATAGGGTTTTTCCCCCATGCTGACTCTTTCGCGCAGGGACAGGGCAAAAGTACGGTGGCAACCTTTCGTGTTCCCCTTGAACTGACTCTTCTGTTCTTTGACTGGGGTTCTGCAAGCTTTATTTACGTCGGATGTATCCTGCAATATTTCTCCCCCTTTCCCGAAACATTTCCCCTTGCTTTTAAGATGGCGGTTTGGTTGGGCAAACAAATCTTGAATTTGAGGCCACGGAAAAGAAGAGCCCCGCCTCCTTCCGTTTTTGAAGCAACTGTCCACGGACGTTTTTGGTTCCATTTGATTTGCAAACAGTTCCTTTCCCTCTTCCAGCATCCAAGTTTGGAGGGTTTCCTTGCAGTTTTTATTCCCTTGCCCTTTACGCCCTGGAGGAAAAAAAGAGAGAAAGACAATTGTAATAAAGCCAGAGAAAGGAAATAAAGAGCAACTATAGAAATTGACTGTGAATTTCCTGCTGGAAATTTAGCTTTGTTTCTCAACCCAGGTCGAAATATAATAGTTTGATTTATTCTTGGTTATTACTAAGTTAACATGTAATATTGAAATGGACAGTGTCTATTATATCAGTGGATAGAAACTTAAAAAAAAATCTGCTTATCTTCATGATTTCTTCGTAAAGAAAATTGCACTGTTGTTGTACCTGTATTTGAAGAGCAGAAAAAGGAAAGCCACAGCTTAAACAGAATCAGTTTATCGTGACAGTTAGAACAATTACTGTATTTTTCAGAGTATAAGATGTCTGTTTTCCTCCTAAGAAGGTGAAAATTTGGGTGCGTCTTATACACCTAATGTAGCCCCGCCATCAGCCTCTGCCTCCCAGCAATTTGCCTCCTTGCAGCAAACAACATGTTTCAGTTTCAGCATAGCCTGATTAGCACAAGCAGCTGATTGTCGGTTGGATTGACCTTCCAACCATCAGCTGTTCCAGGCTGCAGGGATTGCCATTGCCTATTGCTGCCTCTGCATGCCCCATTTTCGGCCTCTGCATTCCATTTTTGGCTTTGCGTGCCATGTTTTTGGCCTCCGCGCACCCCATTTTCCACCCATTCTGATAACCGCCACCTGGAATGGGTGGACAATGGGGTGCGCGGAAGCCGAAAAAGGGGTGCACGGAGGCGGCAATAGGCTAGGGCAAACCTTGCAGCCTGAAACAGCTGATTGTCGGGAGGCGAACAGACAATCAGCTGCTTGTGCTAATCAGGCTGTGCTGAAATTGAAACTGGCTGTTTGCTGCAAGGAGGCAAATTGCTGGGAGGCAGATTTTTTTTCTTGTTTTTCTCCCCAAAAGCTAGGTGTGTCTTATACTTCCAAGCATCTTATACTCCGAAAAATACGGTAATCAGTAAAACAACTTGCCTTCAGAAGTTGTAAATGCTCCAACTCTGGAAGCATTTAAGGAGTAAGGATTAGACAGCCGCTGGTCTGAAGTGGTGTAGGATATCATGCCTAAGCAGGAGCTTGGACTAGAAGACCTCCAAGGTCCCTTCCAACTTCTGTTGTAATCTATTGTATTCTATGGCCTGGACAATTTGAGAATTTCCATACACATACAAGGCAATATTTAAGGACCAAGCAAGGTCCTTACCCAGGGAGGCCACATTCCGAGAATTCTCCAGCATGACTTCCTCATGGAGGGCTTTTTGGTGAGCATCCAGCCGAGACCACTCATCTTTTGAGAAGTACACAGCCACCTCCTTGAAGGACACAGCGCCCTGCTGAAGGAAAGAGGTTGCCATGATCTTGCAGTCCCAAGAAGACAAACGATGAAATAAGAAATCTTCATTGGGCTCATTTTTAAAAATATTTTCTAGTGGGTATTAAAAAAAATGTGCAAGGTAATGGAGCAAGCTTATAGCTTCTCACAGTTGGGGCAAGTTTCATACAGTTGACTGAATTCTGTAGAACTTTCAGTGCTGTTTTTTTTTCTCGTGGAGTAGATTAGCGTGCATCCTGCTTAAGATCTGAACCTTCCTGAATCAGTGTTGCCCCACCACATCACCCCTGATGTTTACCCCCCCCCATACCTGTGCTGAAATTCCAGCTGCTCTTTTGGATACCCCAGAAAAAGGAGATGATCCTAAAAATGCTGGTGGCGTTGATCTGTTCCCTGTAACAGAAACAAAAATTGGAAGCAGGCTTTTAAATTACGGTAGTAGTTAAATAAAAGATAGGGAGAAATTATAAGCAAGAGGAGTAGAAGAATGAGAGGGAGCTGGATTTTTCCGACAATACCATACACCTTAAAGCAGGGGTGTCAAACTCAAGGCCGCCCTCCCGAGCTCCATTTTCACTGACAGAGGGTTGCAGGAGACTGTCGCAGCCAAAAACGGAGCTCGCGAGAGCTGCGTGCAGCTCTCTCAATCTTTGTTTTCGCTGGAAGAGGGTTGCAGGAGGCCGTCGCAGCCGAAAACAGAGCTTGCGAGAGCAGGCCGTCACAGCCAAAAATGGAGCTTGCGAGAGCTGAGTGCAGCTCTCTCAATCTTTGTTTTCGCTGGAAGAGGGTTGCAGGAGGCCGTCGCAGCCAAAAACGGAGCTTGCGAGAGCTGCGTGCAGCTCTCTCAATCTTTGTTTTAGCTGGAAGAGCGTTGCAGGAGGCAGTCGCAGCCGAAAATGGAGCTTGGGAACCCATTTTCACTGGCAAAGCACTCGGGCCACCACCGGCGCCCTTGACCCGTGTGGCATCGAGCTGGCCACGCCCCCCGGCCATTCCCCCCACCCCACTCCTTCGGTCAAACACAACCCTAATGCGGCCCTCAATGAAATCGAGTTTGACAGCCCTGTCTTAAAGCACCTTCCTTTTACCTTTTGAAGTGTCCTGACATAGTTTTTTAGAGACGCCTCCCAAAAGCAGCTCCTGAAGAGGATTTGACAAATCCCTGCATTCCCTGTGCTGTTCAATGACCTCTACAGATGGTGCCTGGACCTGAAACAAAAGGAAATTAAGGGTTTCTTGCTTTCAGATCACAATGTTGAAGCTTCCATGGGGATGGAACGAGTAACGGAACGTGTCATGCCTGCAAGCCACCTTTTCTGCCACACTTTCTACTGTCTACTTTCTACTGTGGGAAAATGGGAGAGGGGAATTATATGGAGTTGGGTGATATGTAGCCATAATAACATCCCTTTAGAAACTCAAGGTCATCTTTGTCTCTGCACCTGGCAGGAACTGGATGGGAGGAATCTGTCTTCATGGCAGTGGGAGACTGGACTGGGTGATGAACTTGTGGGTGTTGCGGCAGAACTTTCAACTGGGTGGGGAAAACCTGGAAGCTTTCAGATTCAGGTTTTCCCAGCTATGCCAACATGGCTCTCTTCATAAATTGGAACTCTGGTTTAATTTCGGGTGCTTTTTGGAACCCTGAGAGAACGTTTGCTCCAAATGAGGTTCTCACCTTCAACTCTATGTGGCCCTTCTGCTCCTCCACCTGACTGAGGAGGAAGCCTTCTGCCAGGGCCACTGCCTGGGAGCTGGTCTCTGCTCCACACTCCCGGATCCAACTCTGTATCTCTGCGGGCAGGATGGCCAGGAATTGTTCCAGAACCACCAGGTCCATCATCTGCCCTTTGGTGTTCCTCAATGGTTGCAGCCATTGATGGCAAAGGTGGTGAAGGTGGCTGCAAATCTCACGGGGTCCCTTGGCCTCTTGGTAATGGATGCTCCTGAAGAGTCTGCACTGGACCTCTGAACCAATGGCTTTCACCTCCAGGGTGTTCTGCCCAGCTCCTGCCCGGAAGTCCTTGCCCACTGAGTAATGTCCCTCCATTTCTTCTCCATACTCCAGCATTGTTCCCAATGGGGCCAATGGAGGTTGAGGAACTCCAACGATCTTTTCATTCATACGATCTGGACCGTCGACAACGCCCTGGAGAAATTCTTCAAGCCCATTCACCCTTTTTGGTTAGGAGGTCTTTTGGTCTCCAGACAAGGAAGTCCAAGTGGCTTTCAGCTTCTAGATCTAGGGGAGGAAGAAAAGGTTCCAAAATTACTAAAATCTGCCAAGGTTGACATCAAACCACTATTCTATTCTATTCTATTCTACTTCTATGCTATTTCTATTCTACTTCTATTCTATTTCTATGCTATTTCTATTCTAATTTTATTCTATTCTCTATTCTAGTCTATTCTCTATTCCCTATTCTATTCTATTTCTATTCTACGTCTATGCTATTTCTATTCTAATTCTATTCTCTACTCTAGTCTATTCTCTAATCTATACTATTTCTATTGTACTATGCTATTTCTATTCTAATTCTTTCTATTCTTTTTCTATTCTAATTCTATTCTATTCTCTATTCTACTCTATTCTCCATTCTATTCTATTCTCTATTCTATTCTCTACTCTAGTCTCTATTCCCTATGCTATTTCTATTCTAATTCTTTCTATTCTTTTTTCTATTCTACTTCTATGTTATTTCTATTCTAATTTTACTTCTATGCTATTTCTATTCTATTCTACTTCTATGCTATTTCTATTCCAATACTTTGTATTCTTTTTCTATTCTAATTCTATTCTCTATTCTACTCTATTCTCCATTCTATTCTCTACTCTACTCTCTATTCCCTATGCTATTTCTATTCTACTTCTATGCTATTTCTATTCTAATTCTATTCTATTCTACCTCTATGCTATTTCTATTCTAATTCTTTCTATTCTTTTTTCTATTCTACTTCTATGCTATTTCTATTCTAAGTCTATTCTACTTCTATGCTATTTCTATTCTAATTCTTTCTATTCTTTTTCTATTCTAATTCTATTCTCTATTCTACTCTATTCTCCATTCTATTCTCTACTCTACTCTCTATTCCCTATGCTATTTCTATTCTACTTCTATGCTATTTCTATTCTAATTCTATTCTATTCTACCTCTATGCTATTTCTATTCTAATTCTTTCTATTCTTTTTTCTATTCTACTTCTATGCTATTTCTATTCTAAGTCTATTCTACTTCTATGCTATTTCTATTCTAATTCTTTCTATTCTTTTTCTATTCTAATTCTATTCTCTATTCTACTCTATTCTCCATTCTATTTTCTATTCTATTCTCTTACTCTACTGTAGTCTCTATTCCCTATTCTAATTCTATTCTACTTCTATGCTATTTCTATTCTAATTCTTTCTATTCTTTTTCTATTCTAATTCTATTCTCTATTCTACTCTATTCTCCATTCTATTTTCTATTCTATTCTCTTACTCTACTGTAGTCTCTATTCCCTATTCTAATTCTATTCTACTTCTATGCTATTTCTATTCTAATTCTTTCTGTTCTTTTTTCTATTCTAATTCTATTCTATCCTCCATTCTATTCGTGCATGGAAAGGGGGGCGGCAGGGGAACTTCCCTCTTGCCTGGACTTGCAAAGGCTGCCCTTGGAGGAGGAGAAGGGGCCGCCAGGGTCTCCTTCCCTTGTGCAGCGCGAGGCCCCTGGGGGGCTTCCAAGTTTGGGGGGGAGGGAAAGCCCCCACCCCGCACTCACCCTGGGAGTCACGTCTGAATCTCTTCTCCCCCCGCAAGACTTTCGTGCAGCCTTTTCGCCTGCTGGCCAGGGAGAGGGAGTGCAGAGTGCCGAGTCCTAGAGAGGCTAGGCTCCTCCTGATGTCACTCAACTCCCTCCCAGCGCATGCTCAGTTCCTTTTCTGAAGTAGGAGAGGGTCCACCCTCATGCTGGCAGGGAGGGAGCCCCCTGGTGGGCTCTCTAGGCAACGCAAAGGACCTCTTGCAACCCGGGGTGGGGATGGGTGGGAAACAGACGGCGAGATGGAGGATAAAGAGGGATTCGCTGCCGTCATACAAAGATGCCAACTCAAAATAATTGCATTGGGCTGTTTAAAGAGGGAGGGGGAGCATTCAGGCACCCAAAGAGGAGAACGGGAGGAGAGAACGGGAGGGAAGGGAAGGCAGGGGAGGGGAGAGGAGGGGGATGAGAAGAGATGAAGGGGAGGGGAGAGGGGAGGAGACGGAGGGAAGGGGAAGGTTGAAGAGAAGAGATGAAGAGGAGGGAAGGGAGAGGAAAGGAGAAGAAAGGAAGAGGGGAGGAAAAAGGGAAGGGAGAGGAGAAGAGAAGAGGGAAGGAAGGAAGGAGAGAGGGATTGGAGATGAAGGGGAGGGGAAGGTTGAGGAGACGATATGAAGAGGAGGGGAGATGAGAAGAGATAAGGGGAGGGAGGGGAGAGGAGAGGAGAAGAGAGGAAGAGGGGAGGAAAAAGGGGAGGGGAGAAGAGAGGAGGGAAGGAAAGAGAAAGGAATTGAAGATGAAGTGGAGGGGAAGATTGAGGAGAAGATATGAAGAGGAGGGGAGATGAGAAGAGATGAAGGGGTGGGAGGGGAGGGGAGAAGAGAGGAAGAGGAGAGGAAAGGAGGGGAAGGGAGAGGAGATAAGATGAAGAGGAAGGAGAGGAAGGGAGGGGAGGAGAGAGGAGAAGAGANTGCCAAGGTTGAGAAACACTGCTATAGATCACTCCAAATGGTACAATGTCAACTCAACCTTAAATCTATATAAAGCTATAAGAATTATGTTTCAGTTTAAAGAGAGCAGAATGGAAGAGTTTAGCATCTAAGGTACCTTCAGAAACTTGATGAAACTGAAATTATGCAATATATGTTATCAGTTCCAATTTCATTCATTATTATTTCATTCAATTTATATATCCAGCGACCACACGGATTTGATCTTTGCGTGGTATGCAAAGATTAAAACCAACTGAAACAAAAAAAAGTCAGCAGACCAAATAACAAGGGTCTGTTATCAGAGAAATAATTCTAATTACAGAAAACAACATTACAAATTAATCAATCAACAGAGCTTGCTCAATTTCCTGGCACAAATGCCTGGAGGAATAGTCAGGTCTTTAAATATTACTAATGGCTTTGAACTAGGCTTAATATTTTTTTTTTTCCAAAAATATATTTAACACTGAAGTCAGCCACAAGCCCTCGATCTTTTAAAATATTAGTTAATACTTTCCTCCAACAAGAGATGAGAACTACTTCTTCGGAAGATCTAAAATGATCCATTACAACTTTCTCCAGCCTAGTGCCTCTCAAATTCATTTTGAGTCCAAATCTAAGAATTTGCACCTTGGGAAAGGCTAGTGGCGAGGCTGGCTAACATTAAACCAATATGTAATTATTAGCTTTGATTATTGCGTATGTCTCTAAACATTATCATTGGATGCTCACTTAATGTTCTAGGCCAGTGATGGCTAACCTTTTTGTCCTTGTGTGCTGAAAGCGTGCATGCGCGCACAACAGCATACATAAACATGTCCCTACCCTTAATGTACTGCCTAGCACATAGCTTTTATCTGTAACTGCAAGAGTTGATATTTGGACATTTGTCAACTGACTCATTTATGACAGCTGCAATGTCCCGAAGTCATGTGATCACTTTTTTTTAATCTCCTGACAAGGAAAATCAATGGGGTAGCCAGATTTACTTTGCAACTTATTATTAACTTGAAAACTGCAGATTCACTTAACAATGGTGGCAAGAAAGGTTGTAAAATGGGGCCAAACCTACTTATCAACTATCTCACTTAGCAACAGAAATTTTGGGCTCAATTGGTCATAAGTTGAGGACTACATATATTGGTATAATCTGTTTAAAATAAAAGTAAGGATTGGTCAGGATATAATTCATACCTAAAAGTGTAAACTTTTTGTGGCATTTATTACGGTAATTCTGATCCTGCATTTGTTACTTAGAGTACTATACCCACCAATGTTATATAATAGAAAAGTTAAACCAATTGACTATACATCTCAAAGCATTGTTTATTTTGAAGAGACTTAAGACTATCTTTTGGTCCTGAGAAATGATTATGGTAAGCAAACCTTTTTTGATTTCTTAATAGATCATTATCTTGGCTAGCTTTACTCAGACACATAGAATTTGGTATATGAGCCAAGAAAAATGAATTTAATCAAGCAATCATCACAGAGAAGATCATTCTGAAATTACTGATATATGAAACTTCTAAGGAAATGATGGGTTGGATAAAAATGACATAATTTTCATACAGGGGGGGGTTGTTGCTCTCAGAGACATTCTTTATCAATTATGGAGGATTTCATCAAATCCCGAATTGTTGCTACAGTTCACTGAAGAGGAAATGCTTTAAGAACAGGAGATTAATTAGCACTGAAGTACACAATATGTGCATTAATGCAAGCATCCTCTGCTGTCAATTATATAATACTTGGATGTATTTCAATGTATGTCTTTGACAATTAAAAAGAAAGTTACATCTGTAGGAAGATCGTACAGCATCAAAATCTGAAAGTGCTAAAAAAATATTACATTCCTAGGTGATCTGTGAAATTACTTCTATTTTCCCATGGGGGAAACTGTATGACATTTGGTGTCAATCAAATGCATTCCTATGGTCGATCAGGGTAGACTATTGAGTCTCATGATCTCCCATTAAGGATCCAAAGAGGAAAAGGAAATACATTAAGTAAATAAATCAAGATGAAATATCTGCACCTTCTAAATGATGTTGGATTTCCAATTCCCATTTAGTCAACCTAGTTAGCAATCAAGCTCCCAAGAAGATGGGAACTAGAACTTTAAAACCTTTAAAGAAGTTTTATTCTTTTCCTATATTTGCATCAAAGACAAGGAAAAGGCATACCGGTATTTCATTTAGGGAGAAGGGCAATAGATGCTACAAATGCAACTATAATTAAAACATTTTTTTCTTTCAAAATCAAAATGCTATACAGCTTTATCGGCAGCCTACCTACTTTATACCCAGTATACTCTATTCCAAAAGGTTTACTATTTGGAGTTTCTCTAAAATTTTACTCAATAAACACACATTCAGAATTCTCTAATTAACAGTGTAATTTTTTTGGTGCAGCCATGTTCTCTCTCTACAGAAAATACACACACACACACACACACACACACACACACACACACACACCCCTTAGATAACTATTTTCATTCAGTGTAACTCGCTAAAATCTTTTAACGATTT